TGAACGGCCTGATTGATGTGTTAGCCATTAAAGAATGTAAAAACAGTCAAGTACCGTGTGGAAATTGCAACAAGAAAAGCTCTGAGACATTTTATTGTTTCCAATGTTGCACATTTTTTTGCCAAGAATGCGTCATTGGACACAACATCATGCGGAGCAACAAAGATCACCGCGTTCTGGCGCTCAAGGATTTTCAAGAGAGGGACTTTGAGGATGTAATGAAACGACCCATGTACTGCTCGAAGCAGCGGCACGAGAAAGAGGAACTGAAATACTTCTGCACGAATTGTACTACGGCAGCTTGCCAAAGCTGTGTCTTAATATCTCATGTGGGTCACGCCATAGTGCACCTCGACGAAGAAGCTGAAAAACAAAAGATCCAAATGAAATCACTGATAGAAACAAAGAAGAGTGATTTACAAGCAAGAATAAACATTGTACGACAACTCAACGAGGACTACGAAAAAATGATACAAAGAGAAGAAGACTTAAAGCGAGAAGTACAGGAGTTTGTGGACAATTTGTTTGCAACTGTTGAAGCGAAGAAACAAGCAATATACGAAGCAGTAGAGAGAGAGACGAGAAAATCGCTCGAAATTATTGCAGGACGAAAAACGGAGATCGAACGTCAAATTGACTTAATCGAATCATCGTTGGAGAAAGCTGATAAACTGATGATACGAAGTACAAACGCCGAAGTCGTGCGACTGATGAAATCATTAGAGACAATATTTCAGCGAAATGATCAAAACCAACTAGTGGACCTCGACCTGAAAAAGCCTCCTTCTTCAGCTTTTGTGGAGAATCAAAAGCTGTTAAACACTATTGAAGCCGAAGAAATTGGATCTTTGCGAGTGGTACACGACACAAAAGCAAGCCAGTCGTCCGTTGCTGAAGGAAAAGGACTTGAAGAAGGGATTGTTAACCATATAGCGCAGTTTACTTTGAGTGCAAGAGACGCGGAAGGAAGATATTGTCACAATGAAGATGATCACGTAACGATGGAGATCATGGACGAACAAGGACGAGAATGCATGACGGAAGTGCAAATAGAGGACAATAAAAATGGACTCTATCAGATCAGCTGTTCTCCCAGAGGAAGGTTTAAAGTAACAGTAAAGGTAAACGGACAACATGTTCAAAACAGCCCTTTTACTCTAATAGGAAAACGATACCAGTTCAGAGCTGTGTCGTCTTTCGGCGAAGAAGGTTCTTCTGTGGGATTGTTTAGTTTTCCATGGGGGATAGCAGTGAATGCCAGGGATGAGATAGCTGTAACTGATTTTAACAACCACAGAGTACAAATTTTTAACAAGAATGGTAATTACTTGAGATCATTCGGTAGGGAAGGTGACAAGGCGGGAGAATTTAAATATCCGACTGGGTTAGCATTTCATGATAATGGGAATATTCTTGTGGTAGACCAGTGGAACCACAGAATCCAGATTTTTAGTGGGGAGGGTCAGTACGTGGGCAGTTTTGGTGGAAAAGGAAACCTCGATAGTCAGCTCAATTTTCCTCGAGGTTTATCGGTAGACAGTGATGGAAACATTATTGTTGCTGATACAGATAACAAAGTGATTAAGATCTTTTCTCCTGATGGCACATTTCTAATGAAGATAGGTGGACAGGGGGCTTTTACTTTTCCTGTCCACTGTGTCCAGTACGGTACATACCTCATAGTGTCAGACCAAAATGAGCATTGTATTAAAGTTTATGACAGGAATGGGAACTTTCAGTACAAGTTTGGAGAGCACGGTGAAGGGGACGGGGAGTTTAATCGTCCCAAATGTTTGTCTATGAACAAGACAGGACTCCTGATGGTATGTGACTCATATAATTATAGAATACAAGTATTTGAACTAAATGGAAAGTTTGTCAGTAATTTTGGAACTAGAGGTGGTAATTTAGGCGAACTCAGTTGTCCAATGTCTCTGGCGGTTCTTGCTTCAGGGGAAATTGTTGTCGCTGATATGGTCAACAATCGTATTCAGATATTTGAGTAAAGTATAATCTATATAAAACATAAGCATGTGTTGCATGCAAGAGTTACTCTTTGGCCTGGCAGGCTGACATGGGACACTTTCTGTACCTAGTGTTTTCATTTCTGTAACAGAAAAAGAGCATAACTTTCAAACGAACGAAAATATCGCATTACCTCACTTAAAAAGAAAGAAAGAAAGAAATACCCAATTAATCTGAACTCACACAGGTATTTTGTGGACTATTGTCTCTATTTTCTAAATACCTCTAAGCAAGAATACAATGCATCGGTGCCACATTTACTGCTGTCTCCTTCGCGGGCGTCGTTTGGTCTTGACACAACGCACTCTACTCCCATTGGAGAGAGAGCGCGTTACTTGACTAGACCAAAGAGCGGTTGCGAAAGGGACTACGCTTACTGCCGTTGCTCTAATGGAGAGAAATCAAAATTATTCGTCCATAGTTAGTTGCCTCAAAGATATAGTTCCTGGTAATTTTACTACGAAAATCAAACTGAAACTCTGTTGTATCTCCAATAGACCCTAACCAAAGATATATTGCGATCTAGACAAAAGTGAAGATACATTTAACGAGAGAAGAGAATAACATTTTAAAGACGGTTCCTTGATTGGTTGTTGCCTATCTGGACTTTGCCCTCTGTGTGTGAAATACGTGATAAAATGCAGGTTGTTTACAAGGAATTAACAGGCGATTGGGTTAAGTCCAAGGTGGCTGAAAACGAATTTTATTTGTAGATAAAGACAAAACGCCAGAGAATTGAGTGGAAAATTCACCATTCGTAGCATTTAGGAAACGGACAGGCATCTTTTCAGTTCCTTTCGGCTGTTCGAAGGCGAGCATCACTTGGGTAAATCACTTACGAGCAAGCCAATAGCTAGCTTAAGCAATATTTACTTCTGTGGCATCTTCAAGTCGTTATTATATGCTTAAAAAACTTATTTTTATTATCATCAAAACTAGTCATTTAGATCGAGTATAGGTATTAGAAAGAGACATCATTTAATCAAGGAAGAGTAAAGAAACCAGAGCCTCCAGGTTAAGAAACGACGTCTGAGATTATTGAACCAATAAGAATCTCAGGCAAGCCTGGTACTATAAGAGAGTTTTTACACCTAATTGGTTCAGACTTGAAATCTCCGATTTTTTATCCAGTCATTGAGTAGTTAAAAAGGGACATCGGAAATATATATTAAGCTGAAAATTGCACTAGATCTGTAAAAAAAGCTTGTTTTTATGTTTTCTAAGTAAAGGATACTTTCAATATTCTTTAATAGCGACATTTTGAGTTTAACTTTTATTGACAGTTTATTCGAATTAACCCTTTCACACCCAAGATCGCAATATGAATTCTCTTTACTGTCTGCCACTCAATTCTTATGATGATAGCTCAGAGAAATTGATATAAGATCAAATTTCAATTCCCTAATTTATATCTGTCTTATTGTCATCACTTGTCTGCTTGATATTGTATTGATATGGTAAGGAGAAATTCTCTCTTGGTCAATCATGGGAGTTTCAGAGTTAGCCAATTTTTTTTGTATGAGTGACAGATATAATATATTTCTGATAAATGGATACAATTATGTGATAACTTAGATAATTTTGATTTCATCAACTGAGTTGATAATGTAAATTAGCCACCATAAAGAGTTTCAAAGCAAGCTTTAACTCACCGTCTTTGTTCATTAATAATTCCTTACATACAAATGAGAATAAAGTTTGTGTAATCTCTCATATAATTTGAGAGTTTGAGAGAATTTCTGTCCTGTTGATTTTCCAGCCTCATAGCCTTTATTTCTAAAATTGCTCTGATAAGAGCAATCAGGAGTAAGGTTACAGACAGAATTGGACGACGCAAAGTTCTTTTACTAATTTATCATAACTGTAACAATTTCCAAAAATAAACACATTTGTCTCGAGCAGAAAATTCCTCCAGTATGGAAATTCCCCTTTTTTTCAGGATTAGTGGTTGTTGCTCTTCGATCAATTCTGTGATTGGTGGATTTAGATGATTTATGATTGGCTGCTTCAACTGTCCGATTACACGAGTCCAATTATTGCCAACTGTCCGATTACATTGTCCAATTACAACTGTACAGAATAATTAGTGAAATTAAAGCAGCAAATGCAATAGTCACATTAAGGTAATTGTAACGGTTAGGATTTATCCAATATCGATATATTTTAATAAATTTCAGCTTATTTATTGGCCATGCGGAAACACAAGGATCCGATTACTGGCGACTCATTTATTGAAGCTATAGAAAAAACTGATTTGTTGATGAGGATATAGGAAACTTATTACGTCATTACCATTAGCTGACCAAGCATAAATCAGAACACAACATCAATACAAAATAAGCAATTAAATTAATTGGAAACTAAGAAAATGTATTAGCTTGCAAAATCCCTCTCGAAGAGATAAACTTTCCTTTATCCTGTGAAATGTTGATGAACTTACAGCAGCAGTTGTTCCTCCGTGTATGAGGCTCAAATTGTTTGAGAAAAAAACATCGTCTTTTTAAAATTCACGATTTAAAAATAGATTAAGTTTACATTTCCCACTCCCGTGCCAGCAAAGGTTGACGACACACGTCAAAACCATTCAGGAGAAGCATTTCGTAGAGCGGCTTTTAAAATGAAATTCAGTCCCAGTCCTTTCTTGCGTCACTAAGAGCAACCGTCGCATAACTAAGTGATGTCGTTACTTCATTGTTAAAGAGGCAGGTGCGTTTGAGATTGTGGTACAAGTAAGGGAGTCGCACAAAATGTGCATGAAATTTCCTATTGAAGATGCGGCTCTTGTGAAGAAACTAGAGAAGTGATAAAAAAATTGGTTCCAGATGAATCCGCTGGGATCTTGGGATCTAAACAGGAGATCACGAAGAAGAAGACGAAGGAGAATTTAGAGTGAAGAGTGCAGCATCCACGATACAACGTAGAATAAAATAGTTTTTCACATTAACCCTAAAATCTTCTGTTTATTTCGCACAATTTGACACAAATTTCGAAATCAATTTAAAATATGTAATTCGACACATTACAATCAGATCACTATAGTCAATTTTTATATTCTACCAACATATCCCTCGGAGACATTTTGTGCGACATTTGCAAAACTTTTTAGTGCTTGTCACACAAGGTGGTTCTTGAAGATGGCACCCACTTCTAAGTCGCCTAAGGCCCTGTTGTAAACTCGATATTCATCCAGAGTTCCCTTAGTTTTCCAGCCGTGGAGGTAACCAAATGCGAGTGGTCTGTCGTTGTTAACACTGCCTCGTACTGCTGAGATGTCGAGGGAATCCGACTGCTTTTTGCCATTGATGTAGAGGAAGACTTTCTCCTGCTGTTGGCGATCAAAGACAACTGCATAATGAGCCCACTGATAAAGAAGATGATGTTGCTGAAAGCCATCATCAAATTCGATTCTTTTTTGAGCCATTCTGTTTTTCCTGTCTCGTATACAAACGTAAAGTCCTTTGGAACTATAAGCATGCCCTATTTCCCAACCGGCTTTCCAGCCCTCTTGGCCTGGGGGAAATAAACAGCCATAACCCTTCTGGACAGCGAAGGTTGTCAGGGGGTAAGAGACATCCAAAATCTTAACCCATCCAGCCACGGTGAAGCTTGACATCCCCGAATTTAATACCGGGGAGTCTGGAACCAAGATGACTCCATTGGAGTCAAAATAGCGACCACGCGTGAACTTGGATAACTTAGGTACCGGGCCAGTAGCCAAGCCATGGTTCTCATAACCCGAGTCATCAGCCACCTCTTCTCCAGTCTGCTCGTTCATGCGCCAATGACCAATCAGACCAGGAATACAGATGTCATAGCAAGTCGGAACAGGGCTTCCTTGGGGGTAATATGGCTTCCATCGGTTGTTGAGGCAAAGGCTTAAAAATTTTTGACCCTCAGTGGAGCGTACCATCCCTGTCCTAACCGCAGTGCAAGGTGCTTTTTCAAACGGTGAGTCATCATCCTGGATTGAAGAAATCGTGGAGCATGCATGTTTACAGAACTTTACAATTGCTTATAAACTGAAATTCTTCTGTTTAATTTTAACATTTTATTCCCACGATCTAACTGCGAAGCACTCAAATATTATCTAAACTTATTTTCAAATTTCTCTGCCTGCTCATGATAGATTTTAGCGTGCAGCCATTATTCATCACCATGCAGGGGCAGTCAACCCTCTATATACGCCTTTATGCTCTGCTGATGGCGACTGATCCCTCTCTGTTCCAACTGAAAGCCGTGTAATTCCCCCAAAAGTCATCGGACTCCTTCTTCCCCCTCTCTTTCGTGCACCCCAGCCGGTAAACAAGGACCGACTCCTGACATGAACGCGATTTAAAATATTTCTGCATCCACGATATTTGCATGATAGTTTCTCAATTTTATGAAATTTTTCTGGACGCTGTAAAGTAAGTAAGATGAAGCTCGGAGCTTGTCCAAGGCTACGGAAATACATCATTGCAATAGGAAAAACGAATTACTCAGATAGTCACTGTCCTCTGTTAGAGAACTTGAAGCTTTCTTACAAAAAAATTGTCAACATAATTGTAAAATCAAAATTTACCTGGTTAGAAAAAAAATCTTTTCCAACTACACTTTGCAGCATCCCGTCGAAAAAGGAGGTTAACAAAATCACGGCGAAACAGAATCTTTTCATTGTAAGAAAGGTCCAGCTTTAAACGCACAGGTTCAGTTATAAGAGATCGTCTGAGAAACCTTTTCTCGCGTTCCTATTTTTGTCGCATATTTAGCTCCTTTAGGATTGGTGTGGCATAAATTCAATGGAAAAAATTTTAAAAAACATTAAAAAATTAAGAAAATTAATAAAAAAATAATTAAAAAATTAATTTAAAAAATTGATTAAAAAAATTAATTAAAAAAATTTTAAAATTCTTTAAAAAAATTAAGAAAATGTAAAAAATTCTTTAAAAATAAATTGAAAGAATTTTTAAAAAAATTCTTAAAAAAATTCAGTAAAAAATATTAAAAAATCTTGAAAAATTAGTTAAAAAATTATCAAAAATTTCAAAAAATTCATATCAAAAATTTCAAAAAATTAAAAAGTAATTTAAAAATAGTTAAAAATGGATTAAAATTTCTTAAGAAAATAATTAAAAAAATAATTAAGAAAATAATAAAGAAAATAATTAAAAAAATAATTAAGAAAACTTAAAAAAATCAATTAAGAAATAATTATAATTTTTTAAGAAAATAATTAAGAAAATTAGAAAAAATCAATCAAGAAGAATTTTTTAAAAATTAAAATTTAATTAAAAAATAATTTTAAAAAAATATAAAAAATTATTTAAAATTTCTATAAAATCTTATAAAAAAATTAATTAAAAAATCATTGAAAAATAATTTTAAAAAATTAAATGAAAAATGAAAACTGAAAAATGAAAAATAAAAAAAATTGGAAAAGTGCTTGAAGCAGTGCTTGAAGCAGTAGCACAGAACAAGCCATGGCTGAGACGCAAGCAGATGTCCGAAATGCCAAGCTCTCAACAAAGTGCCGGAAAGTACCGATCTGAAAGATCTACCAACCAGTTTTTACCTGTACAGCCTGGTTGATGTGTTGGCCATTAAAGAATTTTAAAACAGTCAAGTACTGTGAGGAAATTGCGACTAGAAAAGCTCCAAGGCGTCTTATTGTTTCCAGTGTTGCATATTTTACTGTCAAGTATGCGCCATTAGACACGACATCATGCGAAGTAACCACTGTGTTCTGGCACTTAATTAAAGATTTTCAAGAAAAGGACTTTGAGGATGTCATAATACGACCCATACACTGCTCAGCGGCACGAAAAAGAAGAGCTGAAATACTTCTGCAACAATTGTAGCACAGCAGCTTGCCAAAGCTGTGTCCCGATAGATCACGCGGGTCACGCCATAGTGTACCTCGACGAAGAAGCTGAAAAACAAAAGATCCAAATGAGATCACTGATAGAAACAAAGAAGAGTGATTTACATGTACAAGCAAAAATAAACGTTGTACGACAGCTCGACGAGGATTACGTAAAAATGATACAAAGAGGAGAAGACTTGAAGCGAGAAGTACACGAGTTTGTTAACAATTTGTTTCCAACTGTTGAAGCGGAGAAACAAGTCATTTACAAAGCAGTGAAGAGAGAAATGAGAATATATCACTTTTTACTGAGAATCGCCCTGGTCGAGTCTCAGCCCGAGTCGACCCGATTTCCTCAGTTTCCAAGAAGACTGGGACAGTCTGAGCTATCCCAAAGTTATAGGCGATATCAGAATACAATTCGGTTTTGTTCGAAACTCCTTCCTTTTTAATGTGTTTTTATTTATCATCCAAACTAAATCGCCCGAAAATACTCATGGTAAAGAAGCCTTTCGAAACCTATTTGAAAAGCACAGCGTTATGACAATCGCGGCATCGTTTTTAAAGGGGCTCCCTTTTTTTTTGCGTTTTCGGGGTCCTGCCGTGAATTATTCGTTTTACGGAAATGAACGCCAGAGACTACACAAACATGCTTGAACATACAAAGGGGATAAGTTTCTAAAGAAACTGTGGTGCTGCGTTGTTGGAAGAGTATAACAGGGAACAAGTATGATCAACTGAGTTGATAACGTAAATTAGCCATCATAAAGAGGTTTAAAGCTGATGTTTAAGTAGAGCGTTAGCCCTTGTCAGAGTGATGGCCTGAAAATGTTCTTTGTGATAACAGCTTTCCTTTCGATTACATAACGAAAACAAAAAAATAATTTAAGACCATGCCTGAATATGTTTACTACTACCTCGTGGTACAAGCGTTTCAAATTTAGAATGGATGGAGAATGGAAAATAGAGAATGGGAAAAATAAAATGAAAAATTTTAAAAAAATTGGGAAATTAAGGTTTTACAGATTTTATTTTTATAATGCGGAATATATATTTTCAGCGTTTATTATCGATATCCATACTTTTTACAAAAATTG